CCGTAATAAAACCAGGATAAAATAATATAAAAAGCACATCAAGAAACACATGAAATATTCTAAAAACTAAAATTTTAAACATATGAAATATTCTAAAAACTAACATTTTAGAAATATTCTAAAAACTAAATATTGTAAAAACTAAAATTCCCATTTCTGAAAATAATTATAGTCGTTTTGTTGTTTTTTTTTTTTGTTGTTGTTGTTATTTATTTATTTATTTATTTGTTTGTTTGTTTGTTTGCTTATTTATTTATTTATTTATTTATTTATTTATTACCCCCCAGTATGGCTAAGATGCTTTAGAATATTGAAGCTCTCCAGGTATTAGGCAGTTTTGTTTCAAGTGCATCACCTAGGATTCTATTAATGATCAGTTCTGACCTCTACACATCCCTATAGACTCCTAGAGATAATGAGAAGAGCAGGGAATTATTGATCTAAACTAATGTGGCTTCCTCATAGATCCTGAGATTCTGTGTTAAACAAAATAAATCAATGCCAACTGAAAGGCATGTTAATCATAATGTATAAACAAATGATACCAACTAAGATTCTGTAGAAAATAATATTGCTACAATGCTTGCAAAAGAATTAAAAGCTTATTAAAAGTTTAAAAAGTAAAAAAAAAAAAAAAAAAAAAAAGCATTTGATTTACAACATAAATTGTGTGAACAGTTTTAATTTAGTTACTGGAGCTCCAACTATTCCAAATTTAGGAATTCTGTATATCACGATCAATGTCATGGGATTTCTCATAGCAGTTTGTGGATGTAAAGGTAAGAAGAACTCAAACCCAGAGCATGAAAATCTTCTAATTACAGAATTCAAGTAAGAAAATTAAAGATTGCCATCCTAATTTTCTCAAGCAATTAAACCACTTCTCTTATACCACTTTTCTTCTCATCAACTGTTTCTATTTTTCTGGAAAAAAATTTCTGTTTATTTCTGAGTTATAAATATATATTGGACAGAATTACTGGAATCTATTGAACATTTAAATGTTTATCCCACTCTTCTCACGTTAATATATTTGTATTGTATGAAAATCTTTGGCACAACAAATTTTATTTTTCAGATAGATACAGTTCTTGTGAAAGAACATGAACCATGGATGCATGTGTACATACACTGTTACCAAAGACTTTTTGTCACTTGCTTTAAAACAAGTTTAAATTAGTGAAGGTACTGGACAAAAATAGAGAGTAATTACTATCTTCCAACCTCTCACAGGCTTCAGCTTAAAAAAACAAAGAAGCTTGACTGACACACAGGGAAATTACTCTGGTGATAAACCAGATGCTATGTTGAAATATAATCTCTTATCAAAGTAATTCAACTGCGGTCACTGATATGGGATTTGATCTCAAAAAAGGGACTAGGGAATACTAGTTGTAAATAATAATAATAATATAACTAAAAGTGCAGGCAAACTACTGTCATAATATCACATAACCTACATTCATGAATAAAAATTACATCACAACCAAATATACCGAATATACATTACAACTCTGTGGGCCTAGAAATGAAGCAATCAACATTAAATCAAGCTTGAAATCAGGGTGAATACTGATGACATTTTTTCAGATTACATTAGCAATCTGCTATACTTAAAGACTGCTAGAAAAAAATGGAGTCAATTATCACTTGCCATCATAGGGAAACATTTCAAGAAATTCTCTGTTCTTCATGCTCTGCTCAGACCAAGCCCTAAACACTGCATTTTCATTTTTAAGAATTCTACTTTTATCTATCTGACATATACTGTCTTTTATTTTTTAAGGAAAAGAAAGACCTTAGCTGATGTAGCACTGGAAAATGAAGTGGATTTTGGTAATCAACTCAGGACTTACTATGAGTTGTGATGACAAGTGCAATCTCAGACAGTGCTTGTGAGGTTTAAGAGCCCTTAAATTACTTACTCGTTTTGCTACAATAACCGACGTGCATTTCAGAGCTCCAGGAAATATAGAGCATAACTGAATATATTCTAAGGTACTCCCCTCCATTAAACAATGGACAAATAGTGGCCAGGTACAACATGATGCATTTAAGGTTATAAAAATTACCAGCTTTAGTACTGAATCTTCAAAACACTCTCTTGCCAGAAGTTGTAACACAATTGTTAGTTAGTTTTCTTGTTAGTAGATTAGCAGGTCATGCTTTCTATGCTTACTTCCTTTACAAATTACTTTGCATTAATTATTAAAGGTTTAAGGTCTAATTCTGCTACCTTTACTTCAAAATTAATCTCACTAAAGTCAAGACTATGTAAAGAATAAAACTAAAAGAACCAAATCTTTGGAAATCAAGCTGGCATGAAAAAAAAAACACTGTGCAATGAGATTGTTTTCTTTCTGATAGCTGAAATGTCTCAAATAGCAATTACATTCTTAACATCAACTATAATATAAATAAAGAAAATTTGCAAAAGCATACTCTATGTCCTATTTAACAAAGATCAGAGAAGGACTGATTTGTTTGTTTGGAAAATTGGATTCTTTATTGTAAAAAAAATTATGTTTGGTTGTTGCATTCCTAAACCAGAAGCACTTGGCTTAATATCAGAGACAAAACTAGCTTTTCTCAGGCATAATTTTATGTAGATTTCATGTTCTGTCCAGAAGAAAATATTTAGTAGCTGTGTTTGAAACACTTTATTCTAGAAATGAATATAAACAGTACCGAAAAATTCAGTGTGTATTTTTTAAACTATGAACCTGGTAAATTCACAGATGGACACTTGGTAGTCAATAGCCAGCTTTATTTGCAAGCAGAGGATTAGAGACAAGATAAAGTGCTCATTTATTCTTTCCTATATAATTTTGTTTATGGTATGTAAAACTATTTTTTTAACTTCATTCACAAATAAAACCTACAGATCAAAGATTTGCCTTGTGCCTTCTTTTTAATTTCGGAATTTAATACACAGTTCTAGGTATTATTAACCTTTTCGAGCTTAGATTACAGAACATCCCTAACAGTGTCCAGTGAAGCAAAGTAGCATGTCCTACACATCTTGCAGTTATCATTCTTAGTAAGGGGCTTAACATTGTATCTATAAACATTTCACAAAATAATAAAGAAGTGTGTTATTTGATCTTATTAGAACTAAGTAGCAAAGCTTTAAAAAATTAGTTAGAATACATATACACATAAATTAATTGGAAGCTCTATTTTTCAACTGATGAACTTCCCACTTATTTTTCAAATGTGGAGTATTATATAAAGAACCCTCTCTGATTACACATTATCTAACCATAGATCCTGTCATCCAATTCTGTTTTCATAAAATGATGATCAAGCACACTGAAAGCAAACGCAGAATTTGAAATAGACCTTCATGAGTTCCCAATAAAATACAAAAATAAATAAAAATATTTTAAAATATCAAATTATCTCAATCCTTCCATAGTTGGAAAGTAAGCTAATATAGCCATTGAAGGATAAGGTGTAGTCACGTCTTCTTACTGACATGTATATTTTAGCTATCTAAAATCTCATCACCACAGGTGTCTTGAGGCAAGGCAGAGAAATAGTAAGTACCAGAGTGATGCATCCAATTTATCTTAGGCACTTAGGATGAGATACATTACTCTGAGAAGGTGCCTTTTGCTCTCCATTGGGTATAAAGGAAAACTGGAATTACTAGGTTATACAACTAACTTTGCATAGACTAGTTACAGAAGATGAATCTTACCATAGGCCATAACTGACTGAGGAAAAATTGTGTTTAGTACTCATCATATGATATAAAACTCGTATTTTCCCTTACAAAATTGTTGTTTTAAAAGGGGAAACATACGTTGATTTTTTTAATTGCTAGCAAGTATTTTTGCCAAAGTTACAACTATAAATGACACAATAAAATCATTCCTTTCTTAAGAAATTAAGTCTTATGATCCTACAATAAAACAGAAAATAAGAGAATTACTGGATACAGTATCACATTACGAAAGAGATAGCTAAGAAACTGTCTTACAGAGTACCAAAAACAGTGAAAAGAAAATGCAAAAATAGAATGTGCATGATGTTCTATATTTAGCTTTGTGGGTAGGCTCTGAAATCTCCCTTGAGCTGTCTTCTTTGATAATCACTGGTAAGACCAAATTCTGAGGCAACAGTAGGGTGTTCTCAGCAACACTTGTATCTGAGGACCCAAACCAGCCAGTATTCAAAGGCAATCTGTGAATTTATTATAGTTCTATACATAAACATCTGCCTTTTACTTTTGTTAACTGAGCCTAGATCAAAACACAATTTTGCATCAACTACTTTCAATATATCTCAAATTTTATTTTTAATACAAATGCTTGATAATAGCCTTATACTGGCAGACCTGTCTTGAAGATTGTCCCACTGTTAGCATCTTATTTAGCTGTAACACAAAGTCATTTGTCTCAAAGAATTATATCAAACTGAAATATTCTCAAACCTCCCTGTATGTCAGCAGTTTTCCAGCTGCATGCCATCACTGCATCTGCAGTGAATCATACAGAATCATCATTTTAAGGAAAGAAGGAATGCGGGATGTGTGAGGTATATTCAGATATTATATTGCAACTATAGTATCAGTGTTTTCTTCAACAACATTAACTATCACATAGGAGCAGTCACACTGCTTCCCATTGGCACAAAACCTTTGAAGATCTTTTTCAGTTTTTTAAATGTTATAAGGAACAAAAAGTAGGGGAAAAAAGAATGCCATTTCACTGATGATACTGTCATCACATGCAAAATATAATAGCACCATGCCCTTAACATTTAACTGCATATTAAGCTAAAACAAAAGTGAAAATTCCAATTTGAAAACTGTAACTGAAATATCTATACTATTGGTCAGTAATGGCCTTATAGGGAATTTCAATGGTATTGCCATTGCTAGTTGGGACATGTGAAAATTTCTTCTTTAGAGTTTTAATTTTTTTATGAGACACTATCAGTTTACATCACTCTTGTATTGGCAGAAACTGATTGAATAGATCTTTGCTTCTTACCATCAACACAGGCTGGCCTTGCTCTTGTTGTACCGGCAATCTGTCCTTTTTTACATGCACAGCGAGCTGTTTGTCGGGCTATAGTCCTTCGGGGCTGACTGCTATCTCTGTCCAAAGTAACAATCTCACATGTACCTGCAGCCAGTTGACCTGGAAAAAGAACCAGCAACAGGTACCAGAGTCACTGAATGCACTACAGGCAATCTATTACAGCCAAATAGAGTCATGGCCCTATGTCACAGCAGACACTCCACAACAAATGGGCAGCCAGCTGATGGATATAATAAAACCAAGATGACATACAATTTTTCTTTGTGGTGGACATAGGAAAACCCCACAAACTGGTTCTCTCAGAAAATGATTATTGTTCCATAAAAGCCAGAGAGCTGAGGTCACACAGGTTACTTTTACTTATGTCAGCTAAGTAAAGGAACAATCTGCTTTTACAGCAATTAATTTTAAATGGTGTGCTCCTTATGTACTTTCAGAAAATAAATGGTAAAAGTATATGGAAAACAAAAAAAACTTATCCACATGTCCATTATTACAATAAAGTCTTAACTTCTTTGTGTGTTGTTTTTGAAAGAAAAAGTCTTTCAAACTATGCCCATGTTTGACCTGATTGCCAGTCCTTTCGTTCTTGTTTCATCTAAACTGAACAGTAATTCATTCTCTACCTGACACATACTTGAAGTAGCTGGTCTTTTTTCTTTTACTAAATTTACTATACAGCCATCCTGAAAATGACAGTAAAATAACACTGCCCCATTAGCTCAGTAACGTTGTTTGCTTTTCACAGACTTCTGCAGTATACATATCTTTTCCTGAATACTGAGCAAATTCACATTACCTAATTCTGAATTTGGACTATGCTATGAGAGGCAAAACAAAAAGTTGCAAAAAACTATTTTATGAAGAATATTAGTCTGAATTAAATGTTATACAATTAAAATTATGCACTTCCTCTTGTACAACCAATAATAGACTACTAGTATACCAAAATACTATCTTTTACAAGCAAGAAAGATACAGTATTGAATTTCAGTGCATAATAAGACTGAAAAAAATCCATGAAAAAAAGCACTTTGTATTACATGTAATTTCTGGATTTTATGGTACAGTAGTAAATATAATTAAGACTGGATTTTGTCTTTGTAGTCAATCAATTATAAAGCTTCAAATGACTATGTGCAAAAATACATCTGCAAATCACGAACTTACTTTTTTTTTTTTTTCATAAAAAAATAGGATTGGAACAAATGCAATATTGTATTTATTAAAAAGTTATGCAGTTTAAATAATATTCACAGTAAATTATTTTTATGCTGTGAAATATTGATAAAGAACGAGACAAAAAGCAGAAATTTTAAACCTATATTAACATCAAAATTAAAAAAAAAAAAAAAAAAAAAAAAACACAAAAACCCCTGAAACATATGAACAGCATTTAATTCTAAAAGTGTAATGATATTTCTGTATACTGCATTTTTTTCCATTCAGAATACAAGTTTACCCAGTATATTCTTCTCAGAACCAGCTTATGATGCTTCCTATTGGGTAGATAATATTTGGAAACTGTCAGAATAGCAAAATATTGTAGGCTGTCAACAGCATTGTGATTGGCTCACTGCTAAACCACCTAAACTTTATGTTGCTGTGACTCCCACACTGCAGTGAATTACAACATGGTAAAACTGAGGATTTCAATGATTAATATGGAACAAGGTACTCTACAAATTCATGCAAATATATGACATATATGCAAGTAATATACATTAGGCATTTATAAACACAGATATGATATTCACAATAATGAACACTATCACCATAATATTTAATGGCTGATGGCAACTAGTCTTATGAACTATGGTCAATCCTGGGTTTAAATGCTTTTCCAACCACTCTCTTAATAAAAACATCTTAGGGTAAAGATACTGATGAGAGGACTTTTACTCTAATATATGCTGTTTTTTTCTTTCTTTCCTCTGAAATCTTGGATTAGAAAGCAAAGGTTTAGCAAAAAAAAAGATAGTGGCACATGATTTTCCAAATAAGGACAAGGGAAATCCAGCCACTTTAACTGAAAAAAAAAAAAAAAAAATACAAAACACAAAACAAAACAAAACCCACAAAACATTCTTTTTTCCCCCATCTCTAATATATTTCATTCTGGGTTGCAGGAGATATACTGCTCCCAAAGAATACAGCTGTCTCAGAAGATCATGTAAAAAAGACATAATCAGAGGTGTATTTATATCTTGATCCCTTAGGCATTTGAATATCATGATTATAGTCCTGCATCAAGAATGGAAACCAAAAAAAAGTGGAAGCATAAATAAAGCATGTGTAAGCATTCCTGAGAGTGTGGGTTGCCATATTCTCCACTATCTCTAAGTCTTTATACTATTGTGGTTTTCATTAAAAGTTATGGTAAATAATATAATCTAGGTGAATCATTATATAAAACCCCACTTCGGAGGATAGGAACCAGTTTTACAGCACAGTGAAGGTGAATAAGGACTACACTCAGAGAAAAAAAGAATAAGTAAGCTTTATGTCAAGATAATTTGTGAAAGCTAAAAAGCTTTCCAGGGAATGGAAGCAGTGACTATCAATAAGAGTGGCTGTAGATAATCTTTTCTGCTTTTGGACCTGTCCAGTTTTAGTTCGGCACAGGTTCATTTTGAGCCAGCTGGGCTATTTGTTTTTTTTTATGATTGTTTTCAGTTGTTTATTTTGTTTAGATATGATAATTTCTTCCAGGCATAACAATCTAATTCTTTTGATGAACTTTGAAAACTGGAATACCTAAATGAGAGTAATTTATATACAAAGATAATGTTTGCATAGCTATTAAAAACAAGGGGAAATTGGAAATATTTGTAAAACATTTAATGGATTATTTTGTTTTAAAGATAATTTCTCTGTTGCCATTCTTCTTCTATAGCAGAAGAAAATTAAAAGTTATTGTAGAGCTGCAGCAGGTCTTCCCACATATGTGACATAAATACTTCCTGGTGCTTGTGTCACAGGGTGCAAAGGCTGCAAGTATATTCAGCACTGCAACATAGTGTACATCTACTGTTACTTGTCTTTAGATGGCTGTAAAGCATGAAAAGTATTAGTTAAGGTTATGGAGGTCCACCTCCAGAGAGAGAGTCATCCTGTTATATAGCATGTTCTCTCTGTCTCTCATTAAGTAGAGGGTAAATCTACAGGAGTACCTTACTTAGATGACATGTATGCTACTTTTGCTTTTTAACAGTTTAATCTAGAAATGTAAAGTACAAAATGAATAAAGAACAAAAGGAATATACTTCTTGTAAGGACCAAGTTTAAAGAATTAGGATACATTTAATTTTCAGGGGAGTTAACAGTGACCTCTTGCAAAGACATTAATGAAAAAAGGACATTCAGCTGTGAGCCTCTGAACATTCTCCACTCCTAAGCACAGAAGTCTCAAGGCAGCAATGGGTGGAGTTTCACTGGAACTTTTCCAGCTGAGAGATTAAGAGCCACAGTCCATGGAAGAGTCATAAAGATTCCATGTTTTCAGTAGATCATAGCAAAGCAATTCACCAACCTGAATGAGATAATCTTGGGGGGAAAAAAGGCAAGCATCATTAGAGAACTCTAATTCACTGTAGCCCTGTCTGAAAGATATTTTTGAGAAAAAGAATATAATTTTTTATTATTTTATGGAACATGCATAAAGATTATTTCAGTTATCATCATCCAGTTTTCCAAGTAAATAAGTGGGTATTTTTTTGTTGTAGTTATTGTTTTGATATTATTTTATATATGTAAATATTTTATATTTTATAAATATTTATTTTATAAGTTTATTTTATTAATTAGGATCTCATTGGAAGTTATTTGATTTTGTGTTGCCACCATCTGGTTACTAAACAGAGAAAAGTTCAGGTTCCTTAATGCTCTTCTGTAATGTTGTGCTGCACTCTTGAAATGCCAGTTGATATGTCTCCTCTCTCTTCCACCACAAACACCCATGCTTCTATATGGAATTCTTTCAGGAAAAAAAGGAAAACTACAGGATTCGGAATTAAAACCGTAAGTCAAGCTAAACCAAAAAAAAAAAAAAAGTTAAAATTTCAAATACAACAGGATTAGGCTTTTGGCTTCTAGCTTGCACTCATGGACTTGTTTACGACAACTGCTGTAGTCAACACCTGTTTTGATTTTTTCTGAATGAACTCCCATTGTGATCAGTTCTGAAGCTGCTTTCTGTGAGACTTTCATGGAAGTCTGTAGAATCAGTGAGTTTAGGCACATATATTTAGCAAATGGTGCAGGAAATATCTCAAGGTAAAGGTATTACACTTTTAAAAGTTTTTTAGTACTTACAATCTTGAGAGATAAGAGTTTGTTATCAAAATTTTTAAAAGTAAATGGCATTTTTATGTGAATTATGAAAAGTCTTCTGTCAATTATAAACCACTGTTGAAAGAACAAAGCTTTTTAAAGATCCATATTGTCTGTCATAGGTAACACACTCAAATAGTAAATATTTTCATACTACATGGAGGTTACCTGGGATAACGTTTTAATATTCTGTGGAGAAAAATACTTCTGTTCTCTAATAGAAAATAAAATCTGCCTAATCCACATTGATTATAGCAAGCCAGTTACAGATATTATGAATTTTTAATTTATGCATGCTGAAAAGCTGAATACTTTCCCCCAAATTCATTTAAATAAATAAAATCAGATGGTAAACTCAAGATACCTGTTTATTATATAATGAAAATAAAACTTGGTCTAAATATACAGGTCTTTCCAGGGTTTTAGATTTCATGCTCATCCAAAAAATCTACTTCTGAATCGTACATGCAGGCTTATATTATAGTTTCAGTGAACAATTTTTTCATGCATCACCAATTTGATGCCTAGCAACACAAGCTCTTTTAGATCAAAATGCATCAAGTTAGATGTTATTAAAATTCTTGGCTAGATTCAGATACTCTTTTGTCAGTGAACACAATGCAGGAGTTGTTTCAAAATCAGATCATAGGAATACATTCAGTAGTTTTCTATTACAATATTGAGGTCTTTCTGACAACAGAGCCAAGCCAACTCCTGAGCAGAGATGAATATCAAGAATTCCTACTGAAATAAGGGGGAATTTAAGT